TTTTTTTTCCATTGTAGATTGGTAAACTTAGGCTAATATTTGAATTGCACAATACTTCTGATCTTCAGAAATAATACTTAGTACAAGATGGATGATACAGTGTTATTCCTAACGTTAATGAAACAACTGTAAGTAATTTATTATTCTAAATCTCAAACAAAATATAACTTTATATATAGTCTCAATCGAATAGCACGAAGTAAAAATCCTTTGTTAACCTTTTCTCCAAAGAGAAGGCTCTTGGAGAAAAACACTTATTTTTTTCATTTTGTTATTTCAAATTAGACGTCTGTTTGAACCATAGCCAAATCCAAAATATCAGGTAATTCGATTATTTCTATGAAAAATGCAATTAGAAACAAGTTTAAAAAGTGTATTTTCTTCTTAAAAATCGACGAAAATGGGTATACTCAGTATTCTGACATTAAGTCACGACTAGATTGACCATTTGATCTGGGGACGCCTCATTCAATACAGAACAATACAGACTACAAATTTCCCTCAAGCAACTCTTTGATATTGAGGATAATTGAGGCGCTATAGGTGGAAAACACTTATCTTGAGGATGTGGGTAAAGGGAAGATGAACTTATATCCACACTCACATCCTCTCGAAACATACATGGATCAACTTAAGCTTTCACACTGATCCCGAATATAACATTTATTTTTGCTGAAATTGTAGTTTTCAACCCAAAAATCGGTGAAAAACCGTCACAAATGCATCGACGCATTGCTTAAGTGATCAGTAGTTTTTGAGTCTGGATAATATGAAGCTTTGCACTCCTGAACACACTATCGTATGATGAAGTTTTGAAATCGATAGACGCTACGTAATAATCCAAACAAACATGCGCCTGTTAACTTAGACTCCGTACAAAAACAGAACAATAGCAACTTTATCTATAAACAACACGAGGATCGCAGTAATATCTTTATTCTTCATCTTAAGAAAGTATTAAAAACTGTATTTCATAAGACATTAACATTAAGGAAAGTTCATTTTCCCTTGTTTCCAATGATCTCACAACGACATTGTTCCCTGCCGACATCTCAGAGACCATCTTTCAGTCAGCTTACTCTTTTTCATGACTCGATATATTTCCATTCAACGATTATATGGAAAGAATGGGAAAGCCGTTACGAGAGAGTCCACTACCAAATCCATTCGATAGTACAAACACATTCAAACCTTCAGCAGACTAACCACCATTCACCTTAACATTTTAGCACCATATCACCAAACTCTTAAGTTCTGTTCCGATACATGTGTTACCCTGCATATTTCTTCCGCCATCTACAACAACATATCGAATCGTAGACACATGACACTACACACAACAACACGTACCAAATTCTACTCTTTACACTCAAACAACCGCCACACCATGCATATCACTCAACAGAAAAACTGCATAAAAGCTTCCTCAACTCACCTGTTGGAAACTAAAACTCATACTATTCCTGATCACGAGCAACTAACAAACAATCCTCTGAGCACGAGTTAGCGACTATATCACTCCATCTAAACTATAGATAGAGCGGCATCGTTTGCCTACAATCCTGAATTTAAAAAATACCACAGCTATACTCAACATCAAAACGGCTGCACAATCTAGGAATAACATAGACATTCACACCCCTCATCTTCAATGTATCCCCATTACATCAGTTCTTAATAAAATGTGTGTGTGTGTGTGTAGCTTTGAGAGTGTGGCTGCGGGTTTCAGAGTGTGAAGGCGCAATTCCGCACAGGTCTGTCAAACTCACCGATTCACCGCGAAAAGTATATCCGATGGA